GAAGTGTGAAATACTATTCTGTTGTATCAGCAACATTGTCCATACAATGCGATAACTGTATACGATGTTCAGTTTGGGGCACTCACTATTTTGCATTCATTTATATATTATGTTGTTGGTACTTTGTTTTTTCTGTTTCCAAATATTTTCACAATATTTTTCTCTTCCAGCGAGGCAGACAATGAATCCACAAATGTCAGGAAAGGATGTCCACTCTCGATCGTGGAAGGGTAACAGAACTTTCCAAATTATATATAGACAAAATGTTATCACTCATCAAGCTACCTGCAAAAAATTCTGGATATGAAAAATATGAGAAAAAGTGGTCCGTCAAAACCGGTGCGGTGGTTCCGACGGTCATGGTTTTGACATAATTGCCAGCAGAACTTTCAATACACAGCCTCAGTTTATATTATTTCAGTGGGCCTCAGATAAAATTTCTTGCTAATGAACAGGCGACTACATAATACCATCCTTGTATTCCTGTGCATAAAAATCAGTATTTACACGCTTTATCTGCTTAAAATACAACGTAACAATCAAAACACAGGTAAACACAGTTCAATTAACATGTTTATTTCTTTCATTGTATAGAAGTTAACAAAGTAAAATGTTATTCATAAAGAAAATCAGAAGCATGTCACCTTAATTCACTACATAATACCATCCTTGTATTCCTGTGCATAAAAATCAGTATTTACACACTTTATCTGCTTAAAATACCAGGTAACAATCACAACACAGATAAACACAGTTCAACTAACATGTTTATTTCTTTCACTGTATAGAAGTAAACAAAGTAATACCGTATGTTTTTCATTAAAGAATAATACATAATATAATAAATCTGCAGTATAAATATTTCAGAAGCTTGTCACCTTAAGAGCTTTCACCGGCTATAAAAGCAAAGAACTTATGGGCCCCCAGGATCAGCAGTTTTTTTTGGTTTTTTTTGCCAGGACCAAATCAGCCGAGCTGGGCCCATAGTGAGCAGATAGTGTAGTGGACATCAATGTTCTAACTTCACTGAGGTCCTAAGCCACCCCAGGCTTCCATGGTGAAGAGCCCAAAGATGCCTTAGCCAGGGCCTCAGGCTTCTTTGTATTACACCTGTTGTTATGGCTATAAATAACATTTGTGATGGACAAGCCAAGAAATATACAAGAGAATCAACTATATTAAAAATAATTAAATGGTTTTCTTTTTTTTTTTTTTATATTCTCTACCAATGATTTATTCTTTTATGTGAGTAGTAGACCTACGACTTAAATGTCTCAAAGACGGCACACTTTTGAAACTTGCATTTTAGCCCTCCAGCTGAAACACAAGGAGAGCAGTGATGGGAATTGAACCGGTGAACAAGAGATCTCCACAGTTCAGCGCACACACAGTGGCTACCTCCAGGTTAGCCGACTGAGCTAGCTGCTCTCTACAGGAGCTTGAGGGCAGTATATTATTACTTGAGATGATCAGGTAGGATAGTTCAAATATGCTGTGCATCAGTCATAAATTAGCATATCCCTCATTTTTTCTAAGTACATGGAATTTACACTGTATAGCAGTTTGTAATTTGAGTACAGGAATTCGCACTCAAAAGGAAAACACAGACTATAACAGTTTTAAAGTTTAAAAACTTTCTTGTGTTTTTTTTTTTTTGTTGTTCAATGTTTCTCCTCTTCTAATTGCTTTTGATCTATTGGTCTTAAAAACACCAAGTGTTAAAAGACCTTTTACAGGAAAAATCAATAAACGTAATTCTGTCTTTTCTATAGAAAAATGTATACAATGCACAGTTGAACTTGCCTAAGTTGAATCCAAAATGCCACTGAAATATTGTTTGACTTAATAAAATTCAATTTAAAGATTGTTAATTAATGGAAAACACAATAATTTGGCAATAAGTGGCAATCCTTTCACATGACAAACACAGAAACAAGATGCTCTACATAAACTAAGTCTCATTATGAGAATTATGGAGTGAAGCTTGTTTGGTTGTGAGAAAACATCCTGTTACAGAGGCAGGAATTGAACCCAGGACCCTAGGATTGGAAGGCAATCTTCACTACCAAGCTACAGTTTCCCCCCTCAAATAAAAGACCACTTTTGAGTCCGGGGTTTCCATGGTCTTTAGCAGCTTTGGTCTCTAATTAGAATAATAAAGATAAAAGACATCGGTTAATTTGGGACCACAGAAACGTGGTCTTTAATTGGAAGGGTGTTAAATTAGAGAGAGATCTGTATTCAACTCCCCGCTTGCCATTTTCTCCATACAGTTAATATTTATCTTCCAGGACATAAGGCGTAATGCACCACTGCCATTCACCGTCTTGGCTTGCCTCCACTACCACGATTTCACAAGTTGGATCTACTTTGGCATACACATCAAACGTATTCCCTGCTTGGCCTTGTAGTATAAACTTTGCATATGTTTTATCATTTTTATCAAATATTTCGAAGACCTGTGAAAAAACAAGACATAGTTGTTTTCGTGTTGTCTTTTTCTGTACTAGGATTAGTTTGGATTGGATTTATTCGGTATAAAATACAAGAAGGATGAACCATGAAAGTCAGAAGACTTATTTGGGGTGTTTCTGGTAGCGCCTAAAGCCAGGCACTCACTGCAGTGCATGGCGGTTGGACGACTGTCAGCTGACAAATCCAACTGTAATCCCTTTGAGTGCTGGATTATGCAATGCCAACTCAGACTGCCGATTGTTGATGGCAGTCTGAATGGATCATCATTAACAGCGATCTGTTGTGCAGCGATCTGTTGCGCGCTTTGTGGCGTTGCATTCTCCGACAACCTTTGGGACAATACCTAATCTTTTTCGAAGAGTGCAACATGTTTGTAATTAACATGGGCAAAAGTGAACACAAGACCAACTGCTGAAACATCTCCACAGACAATGTACAGTACTTTCAAAACTTGCTTTCTTCAGTATTGATAAGAAACCCAACACAAAACTAATCAGTTGTTTAACTTTAGAGGTATTTTTTATCTAAAACATGTTTTCAGATACCTTAATTTGAAAATGATCTTACTTCAGTTGTACTTGATTCAGCTTTCGCATATATCTATAAGTTATTTTTCATGCTTAGTACCACCAGACTCATTTTGTGATGACATTCACAAATATTATAAGAAATATTTGACTAACTAGAGTATAATAGATCATACCTTAGAGCTTATGGCTTTAGCAAGCTCCCCATACGTCATTGTAGCAGAATTACCAACACGGACTTGTTTATCAAACACTTTTATGTTAATGTAAGTACCTAATAAAAAGAAAATAGTTCATCAAACACTTGTATGTTAATGTAAATACCTAATAAAAAAGAAAATTTTTTTTTTTTTTTATTAAATTATATATGATGCATATGTCTTTAAAGCAAAATTGGTAGCCTATAATCTGAATGTTTAAATTGCTAAGATGTAGTCTATAATTTTATATTGAATCCCTCGTTACTATGAAAACAAATTTGTGATGCATTGGTACCAATCTACATTCCTTTGAAAAATTTTACCTGAAAAATTTCTGCTGCTTTGTGATTCTGTTCTGCAACGTGGAACAGGTTCTCTTATACCTTGGGTGGTAAGAAGGTTTCCTACTATGTTTCCTGACGCTGTTCCGATTCCAGAGGTGGTATTTTCAATCTACAAAAGTTAAATAAACAATACTATTATGGGACTATAAACCTTAGTTTATGGAAGGCAACTAGTTATCTTCAGGAATGAAAATCTCATATGGAAGGTAGTTACGTATAACTGTCTTCAGGAAACTGTAAGAAACCATAAACTTTCTTGAAAAAAAAACAAAACACCCAACTGTTAAGTTCTCTAAAGATCTGTGTAAGCTGAACTTGCTTAAGTCGAATACAAAATGCCATTTAAATATTGTTCGACTTAGATAAAATTTGACTTACTATTGTTGATTAATGGAAGAAACAACAATTTGGCATGTAAAATAAGAAATTATTTGACTTAGGCACAGTCAACTCAGGCAAGTTTAACTGTATATGGAACAAGCTAAGCGTTAATTATTCCAAAGGTGGCAATATCTATCTAAAAAAGTTCGCAAAAAAATGTTTATGGAATGATGATGATAATATTAATAATGACGATGATGATGGCAGCAATTAAAATGATGGTAACGATTAGGATGGTGATTTTTGGAGCCAGGATAATACTGATGATGTTGTAGATGATAATGAAGATGGTGGCTGAAAAAATGTTGAATTGATTAAAAGTAATAAGGAATATACTCAAAATGAGATTATGATTGTGAACAACAATAATAATGATGATAATGAATGAAGGTATGATGATGATGAGAATGATGAATAACACTATGATCTTAGAACAGGGATAAACAAATGAATACATAATAAATTACCTCCAGCTGTTCAGCTTGAAAATGGTCGATTGGGATAGCTAATTCTGTAAAAACAAAACATCCAACAAGTATAGAGTGAAAATATCGTTCATGTTGTATATTTTAGATATGATGTCCAAAAAAGAAAATAAAAAACCATCAGCCAACTGATACTAAAATTTAGGATGCTTTTGTAGTTTCTAAACATTCTGAAAAACTTATATTGGGTTTCTAAAGCGCAAATGGGCATGATAGTTTATTCTTATAACTCTGCTGCTTGCGATAACTAGCAGCCCTTGCAGATGCTGTTGATTCATAGTCAGGTGTTGATGGAAGAAACTGAAATAAATCTCCAGAAACACTTGATTGAGAACTGGAGCGTCGGTCAGGTGTTACTACTGGTGTACCTGTTGATCCTGATGTTCCACATCTGTAGGATTTGTCAGAAGATCTTGGTGTAGCAGGTAATCCTGGGCTATCAGATAGTTCTGGATGTGGCTCTGGTTCTGTTTCAGGTCCTGGCCCATACAGGTCCTCATCATCAAGCTGCTCATCATTGCAATTGAGGTGGCTAAATTTGTCAATGACATCATCCAACTCTGTGGAAAAACCTTGAGTGAAGTGTCCCAGTGCAGGATCTTGGGGTGGAATTGTTGGTGGAGTTGGTGCTTGTCCAAGAGGGTGGGAGAAGGTACGATTTTCAAGCCGTTGTGAACCATCATAAGGGCTGCAACTGTAGCGTTGTACTAGTGACACCTGGTCGATGTCACCAGTACATTCAAGGACTTCTGCTGGTGGCATCTGGTTGATCTCACAATCTCCCACATCTCCTGAATGTGGATTTTCTTCTTGTCGAAGAGGTTCCAAAATACAAGAAGTATAACGATCTTGTAATGAATCAGGAGGGGGTATTGGAAATCTTTTAGTGTCCATTTCACCATCTTCCATCCCATTATCTGAAAGGAAGAAAATAAAATGAGGTTGTTAACTACAACAACGTATTGAGAATGCGGACAAGCAAAGATAAAGTTCTAATGAAATAATAAAATTATCAATTTTTCAATAAAAAGTTATTGGCAATTTTATATATTATTAAAACAAATTTAGTTAAAGCCATTCTCATGGTCGACAACAGACAAAATTCAAGTTATTTTTATGGCAAGCACAATGATTTGGTTGTTACATTAACAACCAGACGAAATCAAACAATTAATCAATCAATCAATCAATCACTCTGTGATGGAACAATATTGTTTACTGTGTCTTTTCTTGTCTACTTATTCTGCATAGGTACAACATATACAGATTTAGCATTTCCGAACAAGTGTGGCCTGCTAATACTTTATAAGCTGTATATTCAAATATTACATCACACTCCACTGCAGCATTGGTGTTGTTTAGACATGCTGGATAGGCTGAGGCTTTGATATCTTAACCGTCATTTTAGGCATTTAACATGAGTTCTTTATAAACCAATATTGTATGTGTGCAAAATGTGTTATAATATTTGTATGTGTGCAAACTGCTGTTTTTTGCTCACTCAGTTTTCACCACGCCATTAAATAGTATAAATGAAGGAAGAAAGCTACTGTTGACACCATGGCCTTGTGTAAATATTTTGTGTCTAGACTCAACCAGCCTCAAGGAACATTTAAATGAAAGATTTCTCACTATTGTTACAATAAATAATAGGAAAATTGACAAACCCAAAAACACTGGATGTCCAAGGAGTTGAGAAGCAGTTGGCCTTGTATCAGTATCTCCAAAACCTACTATAAGAAAACCCCTAATAGCGGGATGTAAAGTTACTGGGATGTCTTCCACAGGAGGGGGTCTTGTTCCAACCTATTTAGATACACAAACAAAATCATGATATAAAATAGTTACAAACACATACAAACAATTATTGTAATCATATCTCCAAATAAATAATTGTTTTAGCAAGTTTGAAAAAAATGCATCAACACTTACAAGATCCACAAACGATTTCGAAAGTGGGAAACGTTTTATCCATGGTGGACTACCAGTGAACAGGTTGATAGCCGAGCAAATTGTACTCCACACATCGATGGTAGCATTGAATGCTTCACATCCTGAAAAAAACATACAAGTAAAGAATCAAGAAATCAGGGAATCTAGGAATCTTTATTGTTGAAAATACAACATGATACAATCAAAATTTGAATCCAAGGAGCTTAATGGACAAAAGATAAAGGTAAAATACATATTAAGTGTTGCAGTATATTACAGACATTAAACTTAAAATATATAAAAAATAAACAGAACAAACAGAGCATGTATAAGTAAATATAAAGCCTGTAAAAAGTTGATTATTGCAAGAAAGATATTTCAAACGGACTGATTAGTTCTTACTTTAATAATTATCAATTAAAATGCAATATCTTGAAATGTTCAAGTTCATTGGCTCTACTGTAAGCAAACTTACGACAGACTTCAGGTGCCATAAACAGCTTTGTTCCTCTTGGTTTTGAAACTTTTTGCTGACCATTGTTGTTAAGTTCCATGGCCAAACCCCAGTCAATGAGAACAATATCACCTTTGTAGGTCAGAAGAATGTTAGCAGCTGTCAGGAAAAAAGAGACATAATGAAAAATTAAACCAATGTAAGACAAGGTGTAATGCATGTTATCATGATGTTCAGAATTATTAAAACCAATGAAGACGAAAAGAGCAATCTATTTGAAACATCAATATACTCTCAACACAACAGTTTGTATCAGAACTATATACAGTATGTGGCGTACCACAAATTTATGTTTTCAGCATTTTTTAATGGGCCGCAACTTTTAAACAGTTTGTTAGAATAAGTTTGGAAATTGATCAGTGAAATGAGTTCTGTAGATTTAATAATAATAACAAAATCCAAAATAATCCAATTTGAATTGTCTCAATGGGATAACAGTAATGTGGAAATTGTGAATAGAAGGACTGGACAGTACTTACGTTTTATATCCATGTGGACAATGTTCATGGAGTGGATATATTCCAAGACGCACAGAAGTTGCTTGATCCACTTTACGATGATAATATGATCACAGCGAGGAAGTTCAGCAATCCTAACAGACAGTGGTCTAGATGGAATGTACTCACTGATCATCAGGATGTCGTTGCCATGACGAACAACACCCCACAGAGGTACGATGTATTTGTGCTCCAGCCTCATCCAGATGAGAACCTCAGTCACCACAAAATGTTTAATGGGAACCTGCACAATAGGAAGTATGTAAAACATTGGCAGGACATAAGCTGTAGTTTGGTGTTTAATAATAATAATAATTTGCGATTTGTATAGCGACTCCCGTTAGACCAACCTCGAGGCACTTCACAACAACGGAAGGAAACGGACAAGAGAATAAAAAACCATGAACCTAGACTAACAAAGAAAAAAGAAAACGCCTTAACGAACCAAACCAACACCGCACCGTTTATCGGCAATTTAAGGCGTAAAGCCCGCCGATGCATGACTCACAGGTGCTCAAGTGATGGCGGTGTCTAGCTAAGTAGTTAAAAGAAGGAAAAAAACAAAATAGTGGTAAAAAGTGTCTTAAAGGAATTCAGCAAAACATTCAGTGAAGAGGTGAGTTTTGAGTTGTGTTTTAAAAAGCTGAAGTGAGTCGGCGTTCCTGATTTCATCTGGAAGTGCATTCCATAAGGTAGACGCCGCAGAGGTGAATGCCCGTGAGCCGTATGTGATGGTAGTGCTTTTCGGAACTTTTAGAAGATTCTTAGAAGCGGATCGGAGAGAGCGTGCTTGCGTGTAAGGAGTCAGGAGTTCGGTGATGTATTCTGGAGCGAGATTAACATCATACTGATGAACTTTATAAGTCGACTTGAGAAAGATGGAAACACCACCGCCCCGGTGAGTACGATAAACGCTAAATGACCTAAAGTGTGGAAGCTGTCTCTTATACACATCTCCAAGGTTACGGACCTCTGTCTTTGGTTCGACCAGAAACTGATATGGTTGTAAAGACATGGCTTCAACTGCTCGAAAGCATGAAGAAAAACAAATTAATTCTGTTTTCTTGACATTGAGATGAAGCTTGTTAGCTAGAGACCATTGTTGGACACAGCCTACACACTGGTTGAGCTTAGTAAGTGAACTGGAGAGTTCACTTGGATGGAAATCGATGTATAGACTGGAATCATAATAGGTTATCAATATCACTGCATCATATACTTCCAGGTTTTGCATTACATCAGTCAGGTACTGTGTAATTAATCTCAATCTTCATCTGGTGCTGTCTCTTATACACATCTAGATGTGTATAAGTTGGCCGAGGAGACATCTCCAATGACGACAGATTGAGTTCGACAATTGAGGTAAGTGGCGATCCATTGGAGTGCCTTGTCTGTAATACCGAAGTGACTAGAAAGTCGGTGCAGAAGGATGGTGTGATCAACAGTGTCAAAAGCCGAAGAAAAGTCCAACAGGACGAGCAAGGCGTCGTGGCGCTGGTCAATTGCAGTCAGCAGATCGTTTTGAACACGGAGAAGAGCTGTTTCTGTGCTACAAAATTGACGATAGGCAGACTGCATTTTTCCAAGATCGTTTTCCTGGAGGAAATATTTAAGTTGTGAACACACAATCCTCTCGAGTACCTTAGAGAGGAACGGAATGTTGGAGATTGGCCTAAAATTAGACAAATCCTCTGGATTCAGGTTATGTTTCTTAAGGATGGGTGTTACATGAGCATGCTTGATGTTGGTCGGAAACACACCAGTCCTGAGAGATTCATTCATAATATGAGTTATGATTGGTGAAAGCTGGTTGTGATGACCTTTCAAGAGAAGTGTAGGAATGGGATCGAGTTCACAAGATTTATTTCATGATGCCTTAATCACACTTAGAACATCATCAGATGCAACACAATCCCAGCCACTGAGGCTCGAAGGTGGGTGCTTGCTAGGAGGGCGGGGCCACATGATTTAATGAGATTCCTATGATGTTCTTGTTTGTATTTTGTAATTAATGAGTTATACTCTCTGCAGGCTATGTCAAACAAATCCTTGTGTATGGCAAGTTTGTTCTTAAGTCACCTTCTCTCCATTTGTCGCTTGGAACGTTTCTTAGCCCTTAGCACGTCATTGTACCATACAGCATGAGGACGCAGGATAATTTTCCGGTCAGTGACAGGCGCATGCTGGTCTAGAATATTTCTCATGACACAATTATATTGCTGGACTAGGATGTCTAAGTTTTCAGTGATATTGTTCAGAAACGATGACTTGATATCATCGGAAAACTGCTGGCTATCAATGCACTTAATGTTACACCTGCGAACATAGATGACAGCAAGAGGAGGACGGTAGACATTGATATTAGTAGTGATAGCCACATGATCAGAAGGAAGGTAGGAATGTGTTTTAGTTGAGGAAATAAGACTACTGGTCCTGCGAGAAATGAGGAGGTCAAGTGTGTGACCTTTCTTGTGCGTGGGTGTGGTTATGTGCTGCTGGAGATCAGCAGAGTTAAGGATCTCAAGAAATGCACCAGAATCCCTGTCATCTATGTATGTTGTCAACATGAAAGTTGAAATCGCCAGCGATCATAAGTTCAGTATTGCAGAGAGAAACAGATTCCAGCAGAGACAAAAATTCATCAAAGAAGAGGTTAACCGATAGTTTGTTTTTACTGGAAGGAGGTGGACGATACAAAACTAATAGCCTCAAACATGTTGACAAGGACGGACTTGTGACTGTCAAGTCAAGATACTCAAAGGACTTATAAGAGTCAACATCATACTGATGAACTTTATAAGTCGACTTGAGAAAGATGGAAACACCACCGCCCCGGTGAGTACGATAAACGCTAAATGACCTAAAGTGTGGAAGTGACTTCTTGATATATCAGACAGAGCAAAGCAGTCGCGCTCGTCACCCGAGAACCAGGTTTCAGTTACTGCCATGATATCGATCTTATTTTCGATAACAAAATCACAAAGTGTATGTGTTTTCGTCCTTAAGGAACGTGAATTCCACAGTGCAAAACGAGATGGAACAAGAGATAAAGGTGGTTGGACAGTAGGGATAGGTATAAACTGTTTCCTCTATGTACAGTAGAGGTATAGATCTATGTACACGGCGGCCGGCACGGCATCCTCTTGAACGAGACCTAAATAACCCAAGCTCCTTAAGTTTGCAAACAAGTGAGTCAGTAAGAGGAGTAGGATTGTTCAGAGTAAAAATTAACTTCCTGGAATATGAAAAACTAGAAGTGCCAGCAAGGTAGGCTGACACAGATCTGTAGCCAAAACCAAGGGCACTTGGAGCCCACTGGAGTCCTTGAATGGCCATGTCACACAATGGATAATGCAGGCCTATGTGGGCCTAGAAATAACCAAGTAAAACTGACAAAGTTAGGCAAAAAAATCTAGTGGCTAAGGCGACTTATCTGTTCAAAATGATAATAACACGTCAGTAAGTAAATCACAGTGTAATAAACCAGCTAAATGTGATGGTAAAAACGGTAAAGTAACAGAGCACAATCTACTCTTATGCGGCATGTCAAACAGCGCATGTCATGTTTACAGTACTTGCCATTCTAATGGACCATTCCGCTAAACCCCGCCCCTTGGATATTGTTGCTATGTTCCCACAAGCCATTAAAGTATGCAGGGTTCATATGTTTTTAAACAAGCAAATTTCCAGGACATTCCAAGTCAAATTTTCCAAATTTTAAGTACACATTATATCGCTTAACAGTAAAAAAATGGCAATTTTACGATTGATTATAAAACATGTATGCTGTATTAATTTAAAATGCATGTTGGTTGAGTTTATATAAGTGTTATCTAACTCTTTAATTGAGATGCGATGGATCTGTCTCTTTTTCTCACAATGTTAGGCTTGATTGACATCCTGGGTAAGGTCCATTCATGGGTCATAGGTTAAATTCCTGAAGCCACCATTTGGCTAACCATGTATATAAATCGATAACAAAAATTTATAGTAGCACCAATTTATATAATTACACAGTATTCAACCAGTAATCTTATTAACATTCATTATTAATTCAATTACGTATCATTTAGTAACAATATAAGCACGTTATATCGTCATTACAGACTTATAAAATCCGCATACGCCTTAAAACTAAAAGAAAGTGCATACTTTTGGAGTCCGTACTGAGCCCAAGAAATTCGCAATGAAAATATAACGTGTTTATAACAGAATAATAAATGAGGCAATTTACTTTCTGCTACTACAGTAAATACAGAAAATATTTATTAAATAGTTATACAGTACTAGTTAAAATAAAAAAACTTACGATCTTGCAAACAAAATACACTCCTGTATCGAAACATAAACAGACCTTCCCAAAACTACCAGAGCCAAGATAACGCGTTATAGAAAATTCTTTGCAAGGTCTATAAAATCCACAGTTTGGCATTAATCTCTGTGGAAGAAAACAATATCCATAAATTCATTCATCCATATAATTATCTATACATTCATCCATCTTCTCCATTTATACATTTAGTCCAGTCAATCTATGACAAAATCATGATAAACCTAGAACTAACTGCAACAGAAATAATTTTTGCGGAATATGTTTCTGAAATATACACTTAATAACATACTAAATGTCCGAAAAAATCCCATCGGGGGAACATTGTTTAATTTTAAAGATATTTAATGAGTTAACATCCAACGTTTATTGTGTCACATCGTACGATGGCTGCGTTGAAGCGTATTAAGCCTGTTGTTGCTAACGAGGTTAAATGGTTAAAGTATAATGGACGCCCGCACGCTAACGCAGTTGAATGAAACAAGACACGTTGTGTAACACAATGATTAACAAACACAAGTGGCTGCTGTCCCGATAACGAATTATTTTTTTCTTTTTGTCAAATAGGTAGTTCGTTATATTGGTGTCCTAATTATTATATCATTTTGATTTGTATTATTTATAATTCAATAATTTCCATTGGCTTAGCGAACATCATTCAATCAAAAATACCAATAGCATAATTTTTAATAATTTCATCAATGAATTCAGTTTAGTTTGTCTTCGTCACATAAGTTAATGATTTTTTTATGTAGACTGAGAAAAATATATTTATTTAAATTTCCACCTCAAAAAATCCCATTTCCTGCGTACGTCCGTCACGGACAACTTTTCCGCCATTTTTTCTGCAACCACTAATGTTAGAAAATTAAAAATTTATATGACAATAGTACTAACTGGAATGTTTAATATTGAGAAAACATGAATCTATAACCTTTTACTGAATATATTAAGCAAGGAAGCTATCAAAATGTACGTCCAAAATTATGGAATTGCTGTGTTGGCAATCTATATGAATAACTCTTTTGTCTATACACTTTACTCAAAACAAATCACAAATGGTAGACTTTCATTCATTTTTACCAAGGCACTGTAGTTTTATAAACTTTCAGTATTATGGGTATGCCTTGTGAAGTGGCCTCGAGTGCATTAGCTCAACCCGCCCTCAATAAACTAACGTTACGTTATCTCACTATATTAATTTCATTAACACATTATCAAGGATAAGTACTGAGTGTTTAACACTGCTGTCCTTGGATTCAATTATAGGTAAACGGATTAGTTGCCTTTTTTGAGGTTTTAATTGTTCTTTACTGCCGAAAGTGCGGTATTCTAACGTTAGTTTAAAGAGGGCTGGTTGGCCTAATGTGACAATATCAAATAATACAAAATCTTACTCTATTGAAGATAACACCATCATTGAATTCACTATCAGTTGTATAATCGTTGCACATCCCATCAAGCACTTTTTTATGGCATGTTTCCTTAGAGCCATAAATAACACCTGGTTTGTGATGGCTGGACACATGTCTGCCTCTGGCAGCAACAAATTTTCTAGTGTCCACTGTGTCCACGTCTGGGGAAGGGGTAGTTTCCATGGCCATAGGTTCACTGCTACTACCTGCTTGCTTAAACTTTTTCTTGGGTATTGCCCCCTGGCCACTGCTGGAACGGAATCTTTTAAGCTTTTCATAACATGCTTCCACCTCTAGGTTCTTCTCTGGAAGACTCTTGTCTACAAGACAAAAACAACAATACATTACCACAGAATAACACTTTGGAGTTTTAAGAAGAAATTGTTTTATTCAGGTTTTAGAGCATACTTTCAGTCCATCCATCAATTTCTATAAAATAATTTATTGAATTAAATGAAAAGTTATTTGGAAGATTGATGGGATCAAATATGTTTAAAACTAACATTTATAACTAATGGTGGCATTTCTCCATATCTAGTTTAATTCTATGTGATTTATCTATAAGAGCATACTATATAATTCCTTGAAAAATCGAAGGAACTCTACCTGATACAGTAGCTCAGCTAGTAGAGTAATCAAAATGTTATTTAATAATTGAGCTCAAATCAGAAGTTAAAAAACAATGATCAAATAACAGAAAATAAAAAGAGCCCTGACCTATTGCAGAAACATTTGAGTTAATGTGAGCAAATTTTCAGGTGATTTATAAACTATTGAACTAATATTTACTATTTGCTCGCTCATACTCATCGTAAAATGGGAAAGCAGATGAGTCATCTGATGACGTACTTGACTCAAGTTCTTCAAAGGCATGCAAAGTCAAATGGCAATTCTTGCATGCAGTTTGTCCCAGCTCACATTGGTGTAAATGCTTCCAAAAGCATTCGCCTCGTCTGGTAAATTCTGTTGGCTGTTTGCATACACCATTTTTTTGATCTCTTAGAGATTTCATAAATTTCTTCAGACACTTTGAAATGTACGCTGGACTCTGTGAAATAAAATAATATGTTAATGACTTACCATTACATTATTTAATGATGAAATTGAATTGTTAAACCCTAATAAAAGTTGTTTTTTAGATACCTAATGATAATCTAGTTACTATGTAATATACTTAAGTTTACCAATTATTATCATTAAAATACATATCATTATACAATAAAATATTATAAAAAACAATCAATAATCATTTTAAACCAAACTTCTAGTAAAAGCTAAAAGAAAATATGCTCATCTAGACCCACTTACATTTACCAATAGATCCTCCTGTTGCTTTTCCTTGTCCTCATCCTTTTCCTCTCTGTCCTCCTCCTCCACCTTTTCCTCTGTGTCTTTCTCATTCCCCTCCACCTTTTCCTCTGTGTCTTTCTTCTCCTCCTCCTCTTCCTCTTCCTTTACCTCCTCCTCTCCTTGTGTAGAAGATTGGTCTTTTCTTCCATCTCCATTACCTCTTCTCCGTCCACCGTCTTCATCACCTCTCCGTTCATCACCAGCATCTCCAGAACCACTAACATCACTAGAATCCCCACCAGTGGTAGGCTGCTTTGGTTTCATAATAAATCAAATGAGATGTGTAAATTTCAACAAGATATAAAATGCATAGGGCCAACTAAAGAAAATAGATTTCGATTTGAGAAAGTAGAATTTGAACGTATAACGAATTCACTCATTCATAACTGTGTGAGTTCTTTGTTCTACTGTAAATCAATTTTGATTTTTGACGATGCATACACGGAGAACTGGAAGACCGACACACTAATGTTTAATTGTACAATCCTTGTTCTCTCTGAACATAGATTCCGCCAACAACCATTTTAGATTTCAGAAGAGAAGATAGCGCACAACGTTCAGACATGCCAGTTAAATAAACCTGACATCATTATGTTGTACATCGTCACAATCAAAAGCTCCCTAACATAATCCTCTGTGACTCATTAAGCAAGCAAGGACAAAATTAACTATATACTTTTAAAACAATATTAAATATTTTTATTAAATGGGAAAAAAAAACAACCTCCTGTTGTTGTTGCTTCTGCTGTTTTTGTTGTTGGGAACTTTTTCCTTTTGAATTCTGAGAAGAACCTCCGGGAACCTTTCTTCCACTGGCTTTGTTATTTTCGAGACTCATACCTTGAGACTCAGAGTTCACTTGCCGTGAATGCGTGGTCAATGGAATATTTTTCTCATGTCTGTTGTCCACGTATGAGGGTTTAAAAGTGGAAGTCTCTCGAAGAGCAGAAGGACAGTTGAACTTATTGGATGCTGTCACTAGGGAAGATTTCTCATGCTCAACTACTGTATCTTCTTCACTGATGCATATGTCTTCTACTGTTAAAGAGATAGTAAATTATTAAACTGTAATCAAAGTCCAGTCAACCATCCCATTCTATACATTCCAATGTTATCAGCTTTGGTTGTGCTTGTTGAATGTAATGTACTTTAAAGTACTAAATGTAATTACAAATAAGAGAAATTTAACTTCTGTAACATGTTTACTTTAGTAAGCTGTTATTTGTTTTAACCATATCAGTGGCAAATCCAGAAATTTGAAATCCACAGGGAACAGGGAAGGACTTTCACAGATAGGGGGTTAATACCATTTTAGCCCAAACATGGTTGGGACTGAGGTACAAATTTTGTTTTTCACATATTTTAAATAACAATTTAGGCGTGGGTGCACGTGTGTATAAGAGACAGTATATATATATATATAAAACGAAATATATAGAAATGTTATCTTACGTGATTCATTGGGTTTTTTGCTTTTGGGAACTTCTGGCTTTTTCTCACTGTAATCTGGCTCATCCAAGTGAACAGTCAACTCACTCGCATTTTCTGGTTGCTCCCCGTCATCAAATGAATCTTCAGTAGTTGTAACCGGGTCCCTAATACATATGCTTTGCATGTTTGGAATGTCATCACTGAATATGTAGACCGTCCCATTGTGATCTATTCTGAAAAAAGCTTTCTCCAGTTCTCTAAAGTCTTCTTTGCTTCCTTTACACTTGACACCAATGTCTACCACCAAAGGCTCCCCATCTTCAGTATGACAACGCTTTACTTGGGGAAACAAAGCAACTTGAATTCCACAGTTATAACACACTTCTTGACTTTGAGACTGAAAGTAGTCTACTTGCTGGTCATCTGGCATAGCAGGCATCTTCTATCAAAAGAAACAAGTAAAGCAAAATTAACAAGGGTATAAATAACATACACAATATACCGCATTTGACCGAGAATAAGACTAGGCAGGGGTTTGAAATTCACTGAAAATTAGTAGGTAGGTTTATACTCAAAAATTGCCCCGACACGTCATGCCCGAAAGTGCATCATCACATTCTTTAATATAAAATCACATCGGACAGCAACCACCAGCACAGTGTGTGCCTGAATTAAGGTTTCAAACCAAAGAGTAATGACTACATGTTCTCACAATAAATTCAATTTAACTTATTTTTTTCAATGCCATATTGTCTCTAATAAACAACTCCTCCTTTTTTATCATTGGCCAATGAACCTTTCATGAGTGCCCAATCTATTTACACAGAGATAAACAGAGGTTTCTTACGTTTAGAATGGGTAACAATTATTTACAAATATTAAAATTACGAAATTTCAACTTTAGCTGCCGATTACAAACAACTGGAAATGCCTGTAATGCAACGCGCATTATACAAGGCAGTCTGCCTAGGGAAATCTCCATTACTCTCGCGTAACTTAAACGGCTGTATATACAGTGAGTTATAAAGTCTGTTAAATTTTTCCAACCGTGTGGGTTTCTACAATTATTTATTAAGTTTTATTTAAATTTGATATAATAAAATACTTAGTGAGCATATGTATCTGCAATTCAAACAATCATTCTGGTTAATAAAAGCCGATATTAAGCTAAACATTTTGGTAATTCTAGGCCTAACTTGGCCTAAATCACTACTATACTAAATGTAATACCAGGTGATACAATGTTTATTAAGCATGGGCAGTTTTATAGATGACGTATGCCTTTCTACAGTTAAATTTTAGTAAAAAAGTATAACTTCAAGAAAACTTATTATTTTTATAGGACACAATAATTTCGCAAATTTTTATTCTAAAACCATAACACTGCACAGCCACCCGGCAACCGGACGCAAGTTTAAACCAGTTCACGAACCGCCATGTGCGTTTTGTCAACGTTTGTGAAGCTGCTCACGTGATATCGAGCACTGAAAAAAATAATCGTTTGATATAGTCGTGAGCGAAGCGGGTTTAAACAGGAACGTTTCAAATGTTGTTTATGAATGAACGTAATATGAAAATAATTAAACAACCAAAACCATAGCTTGAATGTTGTAGAAAATAGGAATCCTTACAGCACTGTAGCGAGTACATAATTAGAAATACTACAGTAGGCCAGAAAACCAGTCCTACCTTAAGCTAATTAATATTATTATGTTATATATTCAGAGATTAAGATATTTATTCACTTCTCTATTAAGCGCCATGGCACTTTAGCAACAAAAAAAATGGTTTGGTGTTGCGCTTATTCAAGAGCGGTGGTTATTCAAGAGCGGTGGTTATTCAAGCGCGGCGGTATCAAAGAAGAAAAACTGATGAGGGAGGGAGGTTAAATTTTTTTTCTTTGCTAACCCGCCCCCATTTTACCGATGTTCACAAATAAATCAATGGTTAGGGACACATATAAAGTCATAAGAATTGAATCAAATTATATTTGAAAAATATGTTTTTGTTGTACCAGTACACATATTTGCAAGAAATCCTGAGCTTTTCAAGTGAAAAAAGATGGCAAAAACGACCATTTGAAATAAAAACAAATGTTGATTAAAAAGAAAATGAATCAGAATTTCCCCAAAAGTGATGAGGGATGGGGTGATAAACTAATTTTTTATGGGGCCTAATCATGTTATTAGAGTACAGTACATAGGAATTTTCAAAAAATTCTAAATTTACCAACTTGGAGGTATTAAAAATACTTCATTGATTTGATACACATATGAAGTAGCACTACTTTGTAATCTGCCCATGAACACTTATGACTGAATGAGTAATGCCACTGGCTTGCACAACTCGTGACTTGCTCATGAATTCTGTACAATTTCGCGCTACTGTAGAATGGAGATTCCCCTAAAATTTCTAGTTCCCCACTTACAGTAGATCATGGAAACATAGGATATAATAAACTACAGATCTATGACTGAATGAATGCATGACATATGCCATTTTAATAATTTACAAAGTTACGTCTAGGCCTAAAAACAAAAAAATTAAGCCTTTTTAAAAATTGAACACATAACCCAATTACTGTATGCTTAAATCTGGTTTTTTATTCAATTTGGAGGTGAAAAAAACAGCATGCCTCCATAGAATTAATTTTAACATTCAAACTGGTGAACATTAACTGTCAAAAGTACAATAAATAATATTTTGCACATAAGCCTGGTTCACGTAGAACTTTATCTAGATATACCCATCTTGAAACATGATACGATAATCCCCTAATTGCGTTCGATGCCAAGTTAGAGCCAGATAAACAGCCAGCCAGTTTCAGGCCGTCGACGTCACACGGTGGAAAGGCTCGTTTAATAAAACATCTACTGTATTTTATGAACCTCTATTACCAAGTGGTATTCGTTCAAAAAAAATTGTAAACTACTGTAGAGAAGGTATGAGTTTCCACTACCTAACCTAGCCGACCAGTACGAACCAACGACAGTGCAGCAGCGTGTTCTATCGCAATCTAAGTAGTAGATTATCTAGGCCCTAGCTACATTTACTTCGATAAAAAACAAATTATTTTAATCGCTAGCTAGCATTCTTCCATTTAACAAAATATTGTTTTAATTTTCATTAAAACGTATGTATACTTTATGGACCTTTCTGTCCTGTTTTGTAGTTTTTAGACCGCTCAATTGTGTTGTTCATGCACTTCGCGAAAATCTAGCTTCCCGTGTCAAATAAGTTGCTGACTTCCACACTTTTTTATTTCGTCATCATAAACATGTGCGCTCATTTTAACGACTGGCGTTGGTGGTAGTTCGTTGAAATTGAATTAATAGCGACTATTATAGCAGAAATGGAAAAGATTGAATTGTCAATAAATAAATACAACAAATCTGATTTTATTATTAAGAAAAATATACATTATCACTTTGAAAAACCTACGCAATCGGACTTTTTAACGTTATTACTTGGTCGATGATGCAAAGGGCAAAGGTCATTGGTAATATCGACTATTCGTAAAACGGACGTTTGCTGGGTTTTTAACCATAATATTACCCAGACTAATGAGACTACTTCGATGCTGTTGTTAGCATTGTTGAAGTACGTTGTTGCCAGCCAGAAGATGATAATATGGTGGTACAATACAACAACACTGGCTTAGATGCCTACATTACGTAATCGTGTCCTTGTAATCCGAGCCGACTTTACCGTTAAGCAAGTTAATTTACCGTTATTCTAGTAAAGTTAAGTCACTTAACTTAAGTGACTTAATTCCTTTAACTAGCTATAATTGAGTGGTTCACATCAAACTTTTAACTAGTTAAGTGGATGTATATCTAGATAAAAGTTCGACGTGAACCACGCTATAAATAATTAGTAGAGTTAATCAAAAAATTCGCTTCTACCATCATCACATGAATTAAGTAATTATTGACTTTATCATGATTACAAAGATTAATTGTGATATGCTGTACTGTAAACAGAGGATTAAGTAAATACACCCACTAAATCAATAAATATTATACCATCATCACTGAACCATATATTGAAACATTAGAATATCTTATTCAAACATTACAGGGAAAAGGAGCCTTTTTATAGCTAAAGGAAAAGAACATTTCTTATTTTCCTAGTTTTAAACTATAACAGAGATCTGTACAGTAAACCAACATTATAGGTTTTTGTACATTGTAAAATCTAGTTTAAACAAATCCTTAAAAATTTAATCAAAACACTTTAAATTGCCAATTATTCAAAAAAGAATCAAATAAATAAATACTGTTTTTTACAGAGTATTTATTATAAAAAATCCTTATACTGAATTACCAGTTTTTTTCAGGCTCAATAATACTGTATTGGTTTTTTTCCTGGTAATTGGTGAAAAAAAACCCTATTTTTTTTAAAGTTTAAAAATTATATGTGGCCACTTAGTTATTCTAGTTGCTATTGTTACGACCCAATTGGCCGAGGCCGAAATCACCTCTCAATAATACAATAAGCCAAACTAAAGTAATTCAACAGGATATTTATTTAACATAATCATGCATCCCTTATACATAATATTAAAAACTAAAGTAAGTTTTATAAAACCTGAGTCTTCTTCACGACGCCCGTTGTATCGTCACTAACTTGCTTTTGTGTGGCATTTGGAATGTTCATCTACGACAACAAGTTCCACATTCCCTGCGACTATTTGCGAAAGTTCAAATTCTCTGCCGTAAACCAACACAACATAACGCATATCCAACAAAGTAATAGTTCTCCTGTCAATAACTGAATAAGTTAAACGAGGCAGGAAACAGGCCACTTATTTGGTCCTTATCCATTTACATCCGCCTAGCACAACTTTTGCTTTCGAACGATATCCTCCTCGTACCCTTCGTCATTCCTCCTCTCCTATCGCCTTCTCCCGCTTCTCCTGCCACACCCCAGTTTGCATATTCCTCATTTATTGGTCGCTTTCATATCATGCAAATTAGCATCTACCTGTTGCTTCATTGGTTATCGTGTTTCGCTCCACATAGCTATGACACAATTCGCTGTACCGTTACACTATGAACATGCTTTTTTGACATTTGGAAATTTGAAAGAATACTTGATTAAAAACCTTGTTACTGTATTGAGTAATATATTTCCATATAATATTATATATTTTATAAAAATAAATATATTATGTTTTTGTATAAAAACAAATATTTGCCATAATTCATCAGATATAATGAGTGAATGAACATTCCTTTTATTCATTTCAAAAAATTTATCAGTCATTTTAATGTTTCACTATTTAAAAATAATTAAAAATGCTTGTCTGTATAAAGTATAAATCCAAACTAAATGTTCATAAAAAATGGCAGTTGATAAACATATTATTATTACTGTAGAGGTGTTATGTGTTAGAAGATTGGCGTAATATCTCCAATAAAATGCCAAACAATTATTACACCCATGTATAAAACAATAAAAACCTATGGGTTGGAAATTTCTGCAAAATATTTTGCAAAACAAAAACTTACAATTAGCATCAATTCATCTAATCTTTGTTCAACTGTCAACTGACTTTACTATTGACCTCATTCATGATATTGAGTTATGCTGTTTACCAGGGAAGGGAAACATAACTTGAAAGAACTCTTCTTTTTTTTTAATGAGGTAAAAAGGAACGCAACACTGACCTACAAAAATGAACTTGTAAATTAACTCGAAATTTGCTACCAGTTAATAAATGTATCAATTGACTCTTTAAAACAAAATGGCTACCATACTATAGGGTGTAGTTTACAACATACTAAACGACAAACGGCAAAGGTCATGAAACAGGTGCCTTTGTTGCACACATTAATGTGCTTTTAGAAACCTGTTGAAAATCACATACCACAAATCACAAATTATTAAATAAAAAATTAAGTAAGTATATGAATAATTTTAATGCACTAGTTAGTTGATAACTTCATTCTAATTTGTTTTGGGTCTTTTTTCTGCATTTTTATAAGCAGTTAGACATGGCCTATGCTAGCCTATGTGATGTTCATTGTAATACTACAAAACAAAATCCATAACATCAATTTAAAATCAAATTGTGAACATACTTGCCTTATACTTAACTAGCAGGTGATTTTATTGGTAGATTAGTTTGTTTTTAAGTGTGTAAGTATGATTGATTTGCATGCCAAGTGAAATTAGTACCCTTATTTTGCTTTGTTTTACCGTACCGTAATTCTCGGCTAGGCTGTACGCCAAGCCATTGAGCCATTGACTGTGCTTATCTGGCTCATTAGCGTAAAAATACCACACAAAAGGCTAATTCCAGTTAGACGGCTTAAACCAGCCAGCTTCCTATCCTGGTAACAGTTATAAGTCCTTGATTAAACACCTTAGAAATACAAAATAAAATTAACAGTTTTTAAAATGTCTACAGGGTCCTACCTTTGTCAAATTGTACTGAAAAAATGTACGTTTTCAAAATCCAGAAAATGCTGCAAACTATAAAATACTTTCAGATCCACAAAACTAATTGTACAGTAAAATGAATGTCAGCGCTCAGTAGCCAATAAATCTGCCAATATATAACAGACTTTTCAATGCTGAATATACACAAAAAAAGTGTATAAAAAAATCCTCTTCAATCATCGTCTACCGTCCTGCTCTATGCACACTGGACAAAATGGCGACCTGTTCACTCTCACTGTATTATGAACGTTGTGAGATAGGTACGTCACACTTAAATTGCTACGTCACATTTACAGTAGTACATTGTACTTCCTGTTTACCAGTCTGTTAACAATGTATTTTAATTTTTAAAGTTTAGCCACCACTGATGCAGTGTTGTATTAAAGAATGAAATGTACAAGAAAAAGGGTTAAATTTAAAATTACAACAATCAAGCATGATCACAGTACTTTATTCTACTAATATTCCAATAACTTTTAATTTTGTAATGAAATTTATAACATGAGTCTAATTAAATATCTTGAAATAATAAAATATTTTACATGTAGATATTTAGCAATCATGAAAATAGTCTTATTCCTTTTCAATAATTTGTTTCATTTAAGTATCAGTGATTATTATCATTTATTTTGTCATTGCTTAATAGCAGAACAAACCAATATTCGCTTTTAATTGAAAAAAAAACATGTGATATGCCTAAATATGCAGTCCATCACGTATGTAAAATGCAGGAGAGCACTAAATTGCTCTCCTCGGATTACTAAGGAAAAATTTCACAGCTATGAATAGATGCCCCCCCAGGGATGAATTCAGGTGTCTAAATTGGGGGGGGGGGGGCAATTGAGGGACAACACTACCCTAAGGGATTCGGCATTCCCCCTAGAAATTTTGTTTTCTAGATGCCCAGAAATAACTTCTGAGGCCTTTTGGCATTCAATAATTTCTTTTTCTTTCTTTATATTTTTTTATTTCCGAAAGGGAAAGGGCAGCTTGGGCTGGCTTGGCCCTCTCCCGCAAAACTGCCCTGTATGTAAGTCTACCATTACTATTAATTTCTTCTTCTTCTTCAGGATTTAGCGCCAACTTCAAAATGAAGGCTTCGGAGCAGGCTTCTACCGCAGATGGTAGTCTCAACCGGAAGTATCATTTTAACAATAAACTTTGCTTTCTGGGTTTCTGCCTTGACATTCTGTCTTCATAGTTTAATCTCATAATGCACTGTTAATGTTTTTGTTCAAATAAATACACCATAAAAATAATAATAATACAGTAAAAACTTCTGAATAAAAACATTTTTGGCAAGTCACTCAAACTGAACAACTTACTAA